GCACAGGGGCTCCTGGAGAGGCATCAGGCTTCCTGCTGTGGGTTCCCTTGTCGGAGGGAACAGAGCAGGCGTGGGACTCTGCAGGGGTGCCCTTGCCCACTCCCACCCCTGAGTGCCCACCAGGGCCATGCTCTGTGACTGGGGCTGATCCCTGCCCTCTCTGGGCCTGTAGTACCACAGGCCTCTGTACCACTCGCTGGCCCGGCCAGCAGGCATCTTCTTCACAACTGTGCCCTCTGTATTTAGCATGTTCCTTGTCAGCTGCTGGGCCGGCCCTGCCTTGCACTAGCAGAGCCTCTCCTGGCAGCTTCTCAGGCTTCCCTAATGGAGACACCAGGCTACTAGGACACTGGCTGGGGCCACCCCCTCCTGCCTAATACCTCACCTTACAGCTGGGGAAACTGAGGACTGGAATGCCCAGAGTCACCGAGGCAAAGTTGGGGCTGGTCCCAGCCTGAGGCTCCAGCTGATGCCCTCAGCTCCCTGAGAGGAGGTGCCCCATCTAGCGGGGTGTGGTGGTCATTCTTGTCAGCTCAGGGCCCTGTGCCCACCTGCCTGTGCCCCTGCATCTGTGCCTGCACATCCAGAACTGCCTCTTTGCCGCTACCTCCAGGAAGCCCACCTTGAACCAGAGCCAGGAGCTACAGCGCTGCCCCTGATAGGACACGCCTGCCCCCACTGCTGCTCTTGACTTATAGCCACCACTGGAAAGCTGCAATCTTTCTGTTTTATTTAAAGAAAGCCCAACATTAAAGGGTTTTCATTGCAAGCGTGCTGGGGAGGTCCTTGTTTCTGAGCTCCCACCACCACCACCATCCAGACGGGCTGAGGTGGGGCCCATTCCCAGGATGGGTTTTCTGGCATGGGGGGTATCCAGGCTTCTTGGGCTCCCATTAACTTAGGGATCAGGCTGGCAGGGCAGCACTTGTCCTCATCCCATGGGGCATAGGACTGAGGCCAAGAAGGTGCTGCTCAAAGCCCCCTGGGGATCCCTTCCTGCTATGGCCCCCTGGTTCCCAGCTCTTGAGGCTTGCAGCCCCATCTACAGATGCCGGCTCCAGGTTGCTCTTCTCCCTCCTTCAGGGATTACCCTGGAGGTCATGCCCCAGACTGGGTCTGGGCCTCCAGCCTCCCAGAGCCTCTGGCAGGGTGCGGGCAGCCATTGGAGGCAGAGGTCAATGGATTTTGGTGGGTGGTGGATGGGAGGCAGAGCATAGGGGCTGTTCTGTGGGCCCTTCAAAAGCGGTAGAGGGGGAGTGGGACCCTCCTGGACATAAAGGTGAATGAGGTGGGGTGTGGCCATGTCTATGCTCTGACCACCTTCCTGGGAGGGTCCAGAAGGCTCTGAGGGCCAGGGAAGGAGTGGGCAGTTGGAAACAGCTATGAACCCAGCATTTAGTGATCGGGCAGTAGGGCTGGAGAGGGGAAGCAAACTTGCGCGGCAAGTCTGGGGTCTGCAGCCAGGGCGGTTGGCCAGAAGCCTCTTCTTTCTTGGGGGTCCTTGGGGGCGGTGGCTCGTGGGGTTACCATGGGTGTCTGAGCTGAGTGTTACAAGACAGGCTTCCCAGTGGGGCTGCAGACGAGGCTGTGGGGATGCCGTCCAGCCAGTGGTCATGAGCAGCTGCCTGAGCAGGGTGGGGGCCACAGGACGGGGTGCCTGGGGACTTAGGGGGACACTATGTGACGATGCCGTTGCGGTCCCTGGCTCAGCAGCTGTCCCCGGGTGGTGGAAGGCACATTGGCCTGGATGGGGAGTGGGGCTCAGTGACTGGACTAGGGGTGAGTGTATCCAGTGTGCATGTGCATGTGCGTGCCTGTGTGCATTCGTGTGTGTGTGCATTTGCACGGGCGTGCACAAGCAACGGGAGAGCTTCAAGGTGGTTGAACAGGCAGCGCCCGCAGGCCTCTGGGACTTCTCTCTCCATGTGGAGGCTGAACATCCTGGGCTGTCTGTCGTAGGCTGGCTCAGAGGAAGGTTTGAGCCAGCAGGGCCCTCTCTTGGTCTTGTTTTTGGAGGATGGGCGGACCACAGAGGGGAGGAGGGCCCTTGTTGGCTGTGGTGGTGCTGATTCCTGCCAGCAGGACTGGCCTGGGTCAGGGAATGGGCGGCTGGGATTGGAAGCGAACCAGTGCCTTGTCCTGGCAGGGCCACTAGAGCCCACTCTGCTCCTGTGGGCCCACCACCTCAGAGAAGTTAAAGGGCAGCGACTGCTTCAGCCCGCGTCCTTCCCCCACGGCCAACAGCTGCAGAATTTCTGCCCCAGCCGCCCCCACCCCCGGAGGTGTCTGCACAGTGTCCAGGTGCTGGGCCCAGGAGGCCCTTGGTGGATCCTAGTGAAGAAGGGACAGGTACAGGGTATGGGAGTGTGTCCAGAGGTCCTGGGGTGGTGGCTGTGCACGGGCCCTTCGTCCTGGGGGAGTGGGCACTGTGCCCTCTGATGGCCAGGTGGACAGTCACGACTCACGGGCCGGTCGTCCTGGGGGAGTGGGCGCTGTGCCCTCTGATGGCCAGGTGGAGTCACGACTGCCTTGGTGGGTGTCCCCGGAGCTCACCCTGAGCCAGTTACCTCCTCAGTCTCAGCACCCAGCCACTGCCTCTAGGCTCAGTCTGCTGAGTGGCCACTGTTGTGTCCCCTCAGGGCCCAGGGACACAGATCCCCACATCTGAGGTCTTGCTGAGTGGAGTTCGGCTGTGCCTGGTGTCCGGAATTCTGGGACAGCAGGACCATCGCCCACCTCATGGACAGGGAAACAGACTAAGGCAGGGAATTCCCAGTGTGGCCCCCAAGGGCTCAACGAGGCAGGCCAAAGGGGCTGATGCGTCCCAGGCCCAGGCCGCCGCTTCCCGCATGACTTCCCCTCTGGACACCTGCGAGTTGAGGGCACACTTGGGGAGGTGGAGGGTCTTGCTCCTGAGGGCAGGGAGGGACGCCCTAGGGTCTGCACACCCCTCTCCTTTATCTTAGAGATTTCTCAAAGCTGCGCAAGAGTAGCGCTGGCTCCTTGGACCTCTCCGCGGTAGTGGGGTTCAGAAGGGCCTCCGCTTCCCCTCCGCGCAGTAGGGCCTAGCGGCCCGGTTGGGCGCCCCTCTCCCTCCCCTCCACCGCCACCTCTTGCAGCTGGCTGCTTCCCCGCCAGCTTTCCCCACGTCCTGCGGCGGTCACGGATGCGGCGCCCACTCCCTTCCCTAGACCCCTCGCGCCCCAGTAGTGAGCGCCTGGCCCCCGCGAGCCCCACCCCGTGGGCGTGCCCTCCCGAGGTCCCTGCTGGACCGTGGACTCCCCACGCATTTCCTGGGAGGGTCGCGGCGACATGCAGGGCGGGAGTCTCGCTGACATCTTTCAAGGCCCCGGAGAGTCCTTCAAGGGGGCCTCTCTGGCAGCTTTCTCTAACTGAGTTGAGCCACAGACTTGAATGCTGCATTCCTCCCCCAAGCCTCAGTTTCCCTTCCTGCAGAATGGAGCCATGACCGGTCCTCCAGGCCGGTCTCTGAACTCTGTGCTGCGGGACCCCGGGGTCCAGGCGGCGCGGCCGCGCTCGCAGTGGAGGTTCCTGGCAGAGTGCACAGGGTCTCTGCGTGCTCGCGGAGAGAGCTCTGGGAGGGGCCTTCGCGGCGCGGGTTCCGGGGCTCGGGCGCGCGCCCTCTGCTGGCTGCGCGGGGTCAGCGCCGGGGGGCCCCCGCAGGTACCTTCCCAGGGATGGGGGCACCCGCTGAGCCTTCCCCACTGCGCTCCGAAAGAGCCTGGAGGCCTCACCCCATTGCGCCTCTGGGGACGCCGCCAGAGATGCGGCGACTTCTTGCTTGGTCCACCTGGTGAGGTCAAGGCCCTGGCCCCTTGGCTCCAATCCAGACCCTGGTGAGGCCCTTGGAGGTCCGGCCATGACCCAGGGGACGTGCCCTAACGGGCAGCCACACCGCAGGCCCGGTGCTGGCTAGCGGGGAGGCCCCGGGGAGCCTTTCAAGGGGGCCTCTCTGGCAGCTTTCTCTGGTCGGGGCTGCTCCCCAGGGAGAGCATTTAATTCCTGGTATTTCTGGGAGGGTGTAGAGGTAGGGGTAGGTTCTGACATCTGGGCCCTTCATAGAGAGAAGTGAGCTCTCACAGGGGTCCTGGGCGACCCCCGCCACTGCCCTGGTTACTCCCGCATGTGCCTCGGGTATGCCCAGCTGGTCAGACCACTGCCTGCTGCATACTGCTCCCACCCCAGCAGCCACAGGTGCCCGCACGACCCCACGGGCATGGCCCAGCTGGCGTGTGGGGCCTTAGAACCCAAGACCTAGCTGGGCAGCGCTTAGAAGGTGTGCAGCCCAGGGGACACCAGGGGACTGGGGCCTGATGAGGGGCAATGTCTGGGGGTGGCTCAGGCCCACAGCAGCCCATGCTCCCCGCTGGCTCTGCCCACCTCCCGACAGTGGCACAGAGCACTGTGATTGTGATGGGACAGCCAGGGCCAGGCAGAGGGGGAAGCAAGCCTGAAAGTCAGGTCTCCTGGGTCCTGAGGATCCTGGGCTCCTCCTCCTCTAATCTCCTCAGCCGTCCCAAGGGAACAGCGGGCAGTTGTCAGAGGAGGTGACTGAAACCGTGGAGCTGTGTGGTACCAGCAGGCCCAGGTGCACACGCCCAGGAAGACCCCCTGGGCCTCGCAGGCAGAGCCAGATGCATCCACCCTGGGAGGAAAGTGGATTCCAACTCTGAGCTTCCTTTCCACTCCAGGGTGGCAGTGACGCCTCCAGGGTGTGCGGGGGAGATTTTAGCGGGAGGAGATGTTCCCTGGGCTAGGAAACAGGCCTTGGTCTGAGATGCCAGGCTAGTTTGCATCAGGAAAGGGGCCCAGGAGGCATTTCTCCCCCTAAGTCTCTCTTTTCCTGTCTGTGAAATGGGTCACAGAGGCTCTGGGTGATAGGGAGGAGCAGGTGCCTAGAATGTGCTGTCACTCAGCCTGGCTCTCCTGAAGGCCAGCTCTGCAGGGTGTCAGTGCCCAGGAAGGACAAAAGTCATCTCCACTCTTGGCTTATTTATGTTTTATAAGTGTGGGGTATGGAAGGCAGAGGGTGCCCCTGGTGTGGTTCTCTCCCCTCAGACCCCATGAGTGAGCTGTGCCCCGGCAGCAGGAGGTGACCGCAGGTGGAGCCGGCCCCGTCAGAGAGGAGGTGCCTGAGGAGCACCTTCCACCCTGCCGCCCTCGGTTCAGAGTTCCGAGTTGCAGAGGTCTCGGAAGCAGCAGTAGATCAGGTGGGCGGCCCCGATGCTGTCGGGGTCGGTGGCCATGCAGGAGCGGGAGCAGGAGCGGGTCACCACGGGGCTCTGGTTGAAGGGGAACTCTGCAGGGTGGGCCAGTGTCAGAACCCACACTCCTCTGCAGCGCCTGCCTGCTGCTGCACTGCTCCCAACCGCCGTCCGCTGACCTCGCCCTCCCTGGGATCCCCGTTCCCAATAGCCCACATCTGTGAAGCCGCCCGGGGCCCAGCCCTCCTCCGACTGTGACCTGTTCATGAATTATTAGGACTTGTCGGACCTCTGAAGTGCCTGCCCTGAGATGGGAGCCCGAGCCCAGAGGCTGTGGCAACACCACCCAGTGGGTCTGTGTCAGAGCTGGTGTTTGAGCCCCCAGGGGACCCCGACCATTAAGCCCCACCCACCTCCAGCGCCTGGTGCCCCAGGACTGGATCTCTGAGGGGGCTGTGCCACCCTCGTGGAAGGTACCCCAGCCAAGGTGTGGCAGCCTGTTCTGCCCATCCCACCTGCTGCCTTTTGGGCTGAGAGGAGCACCAGCAAAGGAGGGAGGCACTTGGGGGAGGTGGCCCTGACTCCAGTGCAGCCGGCACTGCCGTGGGGCCTGTACTCACCTGCCTCCACCGTCACCAGTGTGGTCATGCAGGCTGTGTCCTCCGGCTTGCAGTAGGTAATGGTCTTGCAGGCAGCACTGACCATGGGCTGCTCGCAGGTGTAGCACTTGAGAGCCTCACCTAGGTGAGGGATGGGGGCAGAACCTCATCACCTGGCCTCGGGGGCCTCATCCTGGAACCAGGAGGCAGGGGCTGAAGGAGTCTCGCTGACATCTTTCAAGGCCCTGGGGAGCCCTTCAAAGGGGCCTCTCTGGCAGCTTTCTCTAACTGAGCTGAGCCACAGACTTGAATGCTGCATCCCTCCACCAAGCCTCCATCTTCCTTCCTGCAGAATGGAGCCATGACCCCTGTCCCAGGGTGAAGCTGGGCTCTGGGATCCAGGAGGGTCACTGAGAATGAGGAGTGTGAGCCTCATGGGGGCCTAAGGAGGCTCTCGGCTCCAAAGCACCCCTAACAGCCCCATCCCCCTAGGAGGTGGGCAGATAAGCTCAGAGGCAGGGTCCCCACCAGCCTTCGGCCTACTCACCGCAGCCCATGCTCCAGGCTGCCACGAGCAGCAGCTGCACAGCCCAGCGAGAGGCCATTGCTCCGTGGTCAGGAGCAACGAGAGGCAGCCAGCCTCACATCAAGGATTTATACCCAGCCCCTTGGGCACCGGCTTCTGGGCGGTGGCAGAACTGGCCGTGTGAGTCAGGAAGGCGGTACAGGGCCCAGTGGGGAGGCAGCTGGCAGGAACATGGCAGGCAGGCAGGGAGCTGGATCTGGGAGCTCTGAGGACGATGACCCTGCCCTCTGCTTGCACACCTCCAGCACTGGGGAACTCACTCTTCCCCAGCCATGTCCAGTGGTCCTGGGACAGCTCTGACAGAGAAGGCCTTTCCCACTGAGCTCAGACTGCCCCTCGGATGAGCCCCCATGTCCTGGCTGTGCCTCTGGGGTTCACATAGGCCACCCAGCCCCAACCTGGGGGACCCTTAAGACCCGGGTCAGTGTGGCCTCTGCCCTTGTTGCTCTAGCCCTGCCTGGCACCCCCCCCCTGCAGCCGGGCCTGCAGCCCTCTCCACAGACCTCTACCTGGTCTGGGTACACCTGATACACACCTGCAAAGTAGAGGTCAGAGGTAGGAAGCAGGTGTCAGGTGACGGTAGCGTGGGGCAGCTAGACTGCTCTCAGGCTGACAGGGTTGGGCCCAGGAGTGGCCGCTCATCACTGCCAGCCCCGTCCCACTAATGACCTTTAGACCAAGCCTAAGTTTCTTGGTTTTAGGTTCCTGACAATAGGATTCTGCTCATCCTCCAGCCTCCTGGCCTGACTGTGTTGTCTACTCTTTACTGCATGCCGCCTACCACACCCTGTTCCATATCCATGCCTGCCTATGCCATGCCGCTCAGTGACCACATTGCCTGGTCTCCCATCTGATGTCCCACATCTTCCCCATGCTGTGAGGCCCACTAAGGTGCTCCTCTCCACAGTCCTTCTAGGTATACCAGCCTCTCTGGTTTCTCTGTCCTGTGATGTCCTAATGGGTGGTTGCATAGATGGATGAGTTGATGGATGGATGGATGGGGGATGGATGAATGGGGGATGAATAGGGGATGGATAGGGGATAGATGGGTGAATGAATGGGGGATGGATGGGTTGATGAATGGGTGGATGGGTGGATGGATGAGTGTGTGGATGGGTGGGGGATGAATATGGGATGGATGGGTGGATGGTGGGAGATGGATGGGAAATGGGTGGAGGATGTATAGGTGGATGGGTCGGGAATTAATAGAGGATGGATGGGGGATGGATGGATGGACGGGTGGATGGGTGGATGGATGGGTGGATGGGGAATGGGTGGAGGATGGATGGGTGGATGCGTGGGGGATAGATGGGGAATGGGTGGAGGACATATGGGTGGATGGGTGGGGGATGGATGGATGGATGGATGGGAGATGGATGGGAAATGGGTGGAGGATGGATGGGTGGGGGATGGACAGGAAATGGGTGGAGGACGTATGTTTGGATGGGTGGGGATGGATGGGTGGATGGGGGATGGATGGGAAATGGATGGAGGCTGGATGGGTGGATGGGTGGGGGATGGATGGATAGATGGATGGATGGGTAGATGGATGAGTAGGGGATGAATATGGAATGGATAGGAGATGGATGGGTGGATGGATGGGGGATGGATGGGAAATGGGTGGAGGATGTATGGGTGGATGGGTGGGGGATGAGTGGAGGATGAGTGGGGGATGGATAGATGGATGGATGGGTGGATGGATGGATGGAGGAGTGGGTGGATGGATGGATGGATAGATGGCTGGATGGGTAGATGGATGAGTGGGGGAGAATATGGGATGGATGGGGGATGGATGGGTGGATGTGTGGGTGGATGTGTGGGAGATGGATGGGGAATGGGTGGAAGATGGATGGGTGGATGTGTGGGGGATGAGGGGAGGATGAGTGGATGGATGGGGGATGAGAGGAGAATGAGTGGATGGATGGGGGATGGATGGGTGGATGGGCAGAGGATGGGTGGAGGAGGGGTGGGTGGATGCATGGATGGATGTTGGATAGATGTTTGGATAGGTGGATTTCAGAAGGATGGGTGGAGGATGGGTGGATGGGTGGGTGGAGGATAGAGGAATGAATGGGGGAAAGATGAGTGGATGGATTACTGAATGAATGACATTTGAGATAGTTGATGGGTGAAAAAATGAATGATGGGAGAATTCAGGGATGGAGGGATGGGTGGCTATAAGCGTGGTGGCAGACAAATGTGTAGTGAGTGAGTGGGCCCTTCTGAGGCAGAATTCGATGCCGGAAGGAGCTCTGGACTGGCACCAGGAGTCCTGGGTTCTGGTCTTGGCCTACTGCTCTCTCCATCTGTGGCCTTGATGTGGTCCCTTTTCCCTCCAGTCTTTGGTTTTCTGTTAGTAGTTGTGAAAGCTGAAGTGACCTGGCCTTGTGGGCTGAGGTGAGTTGTGTGAGGCTATGGGATGGTTGCAAGAAAGCCAAGGGAGGGCGTAGTTACTGCAAATCAAACAAAGGGGCTGACATGGGTTGGTGCACAGATGGCAGCCAAGAGCAGCCTCTCCCCAGGGCTTGGTCCACAGATACACCCAGATGTTTCGAGAGGAGTCAGAGACTGTCCAGTTCTGGAACCTGAGCTCCACCCAGCCTTCCGTGTGGCTTATGTCTACTCACAAGACACTCTCACCCCACTTTCTTTCATCTATACACTGGTCAGGGGAACATCTGCCAGAGGTTGGTTGTGAAAACTAGCAAGTATCTGGCAAAGGATGGGTCTCCATCACGCTTTCGCCTCAGCTCTGTGCTGATTACAGTGCAGGTGTACTTGGGGTAGAGGTGGGCAGATGCTGAGGACAGGGGTACTGCTCTCAGCTGCTGCTTGCATTGGCTTTGAAAGGGAGGGAAGTCCTCAGAGGGTGCTCTGGGTGGGAGTATCAGCCAGCAGAGGGGCACAGGCAGCCTTTCTGCTGTGTGGGAAGAGTGGGCACTAACTTGGCCCATCCCTGAGCCCAGCACCCTATTGGCAGGTGGAAAAGCAGCACTGTGTCAGACACGACTCAAGCAGGGAGAATTTATGCCCTAGTTAGGTGACTGCCCTCTCCTCCTCCTGCCTCTCCATGAATCCACACCTTTTCCCGACATGCGGAACCGGGAGACCAGGTTTTTTGAGGGCAGCTCCATTTCCCAAACCCCGGAGTTCTCATCCATGGTAGGCCTGCAGCACTGAGCCAGTTCACACCAAGCCCCAGCTATCTGCCATGTCAGCCCAGTCTCTTTCCCAGGGGCCTGACCCTTTCTCCTTGGCTACACTCTTCACCCTCCTCTCAGAGAGACCAGCTAAAATTCAAACTGGCCATGACACTGCTCTTCCCAGAAACGCTCCCTGGCTCTCCACTGCCTTCAGCATGCAGTCAAAAAGCCCCACCACCACCGTTGGTGTTTGATGCTTGCCCTGTCTGGGCTGGCCTGAGGGACTACTGGACTGTCATCTCCTCAAGTAGAACATGTTTCCATTCCTCTAAGAATCCTTCTCCCACAGCCTGGGTCTGACCATGCTGACCGTTGAGCAGTATTTGCTGGAGGATGGATGGATGGATGGATGGATGGATGGATGGATGGATGGATAGATGGGGGAATGGGTGGAGGATGGATGGATGGATGGATGGATGGGTGGATGGATGGATGGATGTGTGGGTGGATGGATAGATGGGGGATGGATGGAAAATGGATGGATGGGTAGATGGAAGGGGGATAGATGGATGAATAGGTAGGTGCCTTGGTGGATGGATGGAGGATGGCTGAATGAATGGGTGGGTGGATGGGTGGATGGATGGGTGGGTGGATGGATGGGTGGGTGGATGGTTGGGAGAGAGAAGAGGGATAGATGCAGGGGTGGGTGGATGGGTAGATGAAAGGGGGGATGGATGGATGAGTGAATGAATGGAGACTGGACAGAAGATGGATGGATGGGTGGATGGATGGGTGGATGGATGAGTGGATGGATGAGTGGATGGATGGATGGATAGATGAATGGATGTATGGATAGATAAACGGATAGGGGATGGGTGGATGGATGAAGAGAGTGATGGATGGGTGGGTGGGCATATGGGTAGAAGGATGGATGGGTGAATAATGTATGGCTAAAAGGGGAGATGGATGGTTGAGTGGGTGGGTGGAGGATGGATGGATGGATGGATGGGTGGGTGGATGTGTGGATGGATGGAATGAATGGGTGGATGAGTAGTTAAAGACAGGCTTAATGTTGTTTCTTCCAAGGTGACCCAGGATGGGTATTTGTGGGCATTCAGGATGACCTCTCCCCAGGGTACAAATGCTTTGTAACCTCTCTAACAGAACTCAGCACAGCTTTGGACACCCCTGGGAATGGGAATCTTACTCCTTCTCAGGGCAGAACCTGCCCCACTGGGACAGACCTGTTTCAGGCCTTCTTCCATGGGATCTCGGACTTGCCAGTCTGATACCCCCAGCCTTGGTTCTGACCCTGTGTCCAGGCTGCAGAGCCAGTCACATCTCACAGGTGAGTGTGGTAGCTAGTCAAGTACCTTGGAGGGTTGAGTTTTTTTTTTTTTTTTTTTGAGACGGAGTCTGGCTCTGTCGCCCAGGCTGGAGTGCAGTGGCGCAATCTTGGCTCACTGCAAGCTCTGCCTCCCGGGTTCACGCCATTCTCCTGCCTCAGCCTCCTGAGTAGCTGGGACTACAGGCGCCCGCCACCACTTTGTATTTTTAGTAGAGACGGGGTTTCACCACGTTAGCCAGGATGGTCTCGATCTCCTGACCTCGTGATCCGCCCACCTTGGCCTCCAAAGTGCTGGGATTACAGGCATGAGACACCGCACCTGGCCAGGATTGGGGTTTTTTGCATAGACAGGCACTGAGTGAGCTCTCAGCTTTGGCTGCTGATTTAACAATGGTTAGAATAGAAAGGGGGAGGCAAGGAGCTGGAGGTGGCTGCAGTAGCTACCCAGGGACACTGACTGGTGGCTTAGATGGCATGATGACAGCGGGCACAGGGCTGAGGCTGAGGAAGATGTCCTGGCAGTGCGGTGGGGGGATTGCTAATGCCGA